TCACAATACGTACTGAGTTTGTCTAGGTTATTTTGAAGGCCTTTGCTTGAATCTGATAACAATACTATGTCATCAGCAAAAAGCAGATGACATAGTATCCAAAGATATAATATCCAAAGATAGGAATTAATTCGTGTGTGAAATTATACAACTATTAATATTAGGTCAAAACTTGCTAAATTTATGTATACATATACAGGATTAACTACAATATCATAAGTTAGTTGTGTTCTCTCTGGAAGAAAACATACTAAAATTGCTAGTAAATCACTACAATTCCTTGACATGCCACCAATCTTAGTGAATATGCATGATTTATCTTGCTCAGTTTCAATTCAAAGCAAACTTATAATGTTCTTGATACTCATCAGCGCAAATCTGAATTTCCAAAGCAATACGACTACCATCATTTTATTCGCATGGTTTTGCTGAAGCCGTCCATAGTATAGTATAATATAGTATTGTACATAGACCTAATTATTGAGCTGAGAAACTGATAGTGTTCCTTACCCGGGGCAGAAGTTATAGGAAAAGTGAAATTACTGTATTTAATAACAAAATGTATCATTTTTCAGTATTGCATAATAAATGAAGCATCATACGATACAGAGTTGTATATTCATTTTTTTTTCTATTGTCTTGCCATTCACTGACGAAAATGTTGTTTGTTTAAATTTGTTTACCTCAAAGAATATTCATGCAATGATTTTAAAGCGTAATAAATAATCTGTGTAAAATCTTGACCAAGTTCTGCCAGTAACAGGCAGTGCAATGTTATCACATTTCTGTGATAATTAAGTGGCTCATTTGAATAGTTAAAAGTTGTCACTTCAATATTGCTGTAATATATCAAAGGTAAAAGATGAGACCACCAAATGAATTATACCAGTGGCAACTTGGAAAGAAAACTGTTAATTCAAATTTACATAAATTATTTTCTTCTGGTTAAAATTCTGCATTTAAAAATCTAATAATGATTTCATGAGTGCAATAGTACAACTGCCAGTGTATTGTTGTTGTTTTTTCGTAGCACTACTTCATTTTTCCATTAGGATAAAGTACTTTGAGTTAACTGTTCAGTCGATTCAAAGAATGCCTGGAAACACCTTGAGGAATCTCTCAGTGTTTTTACCAAAGTGTACAGAAAAGTCACCCAATTTATACAAATGTGCAGAAATGTACATTTTACAGTTATTTTAATTTGTCATAGACTGCATTGATATCAACTCTCAGACGGTGACCTATATTGATTGGTAGATGAATATATCACTACTCTGGCACTGTGAATATGACAGTTAAGTTTTCCTCTCAGAGTGACTGATCACAGTAGGTTATTTGGTAACCAAAATAATGATGCGTCTGCTACACGTAGAAAAAATTAATCTTTCTTTACTTCCGTCAATCTTTTTTTTTCGCTTAACAGCTATACGAGCCATGTTTACAGGATAGTTACTATATTGCTTAGCAAAAGAACTGTTCTAGTCTCGTGATTTATTCACTTTTTGGTTTTGATTTTCGGTTTTCCTCTTTCTGAAGGCATAACGAGGACTTTCCTTGACTATTACACTGGTCACAGTTCCTCAACACCTGGTATGGAGGGACTGTGCACTGGTATAACATACCGTTGCGCATTCAAATGCGTGATTTGATTTGGGACTATACCATTATCAAAAAGGCTTGTTTATATTTACATTGAGGGGCTCACTCTCAGTCTTTCAAATTCATATAGGACATTGTATTACAATTTAAGATCAATAACTTAGGATAGTTTATATTCAAAGCACCGTGACGCACAAAGTGGGCAACATTTCGTATCATATTCTGGGAATGTCAAGGTGTCTTCAAGAAAAATAAACCTCGTGAACAATTTGAAACATCACGGTTACTCGTGCGTTATACATACAGTCTGGCCCACACGGGGACATTTTATCCAAGAAAATTCCGATTACGATTATACCCACCGCACCAAACCATCTTTAGATATAATACCACTGTAAATAAAAATCGATAAATTACACAAAAACAATAAAAACATTTTAAAAGAATATTCATAATGAGAAAGTGTACCATGGCCTATTCTCTAATGGAATGTGTTGTAAAATTCAAATGGAATGTTGTCGTTCTCAAACAATTTGTATACTAAAGGTCGGCAAGGAATATTTTAGTAATAAATTGTTTTTATTTTCGTAATAATGTAATTTAAATAAATTCTGACGTCATTTTTATTTTTGATTCTTAAACACAAAATATCAAATTATATTATAAAAATGTAAAATGTAATTTTATCTGTAAAGTGTAAAAACCTATTTTTTACTGTAAATTGAATTTTTATTTTATTTCCTGTAAAAACGTAAAATGTAAAACGTGCAGTGCAGCTGGTAGACACTCTCCCCAAGATTTGTATAAAGTATGAATATTCATGATCCAACTCTTGAAATCATGAGATGATGGATGGTTCGA